TCCTTCATTCATACCAACACTCACACCCACACCCACACCCACACCCACACCCCACCCACATCCACCCCCACCCCCACACCCCACACCCACACCCACGCCCCATCCACACCCACACCCACACCCACCCACACCCACACCCACATCCTAATCACAACCACACCCATATGAACCCGCCCACCTACATACACACCTACAATCACAACCACGCCCACATCCCCACCCCAACGCACACCAGCATCCACATCCGCATCCACATCCACACCCACCGAGCCTCACCCTCACCCTCACCCACCCACACCCACAGCTACACTCACATCCTCAGCGATGGAAGGGCATACAATACTATTCTTCCCACATACATGACTTGCAAAGAATGCAAACGGTTTTTTGCACGTTTCAGAAATAAAGGAGACATACGATGGCTGGAGAAATATTATCCTGGGAAGATAAATATGAAATCATTACACGTAATTTGCAAGAAGTTATCGGTGAAGACCGTCTGCGCAACATTTTGCAAGAACGAAGTCTTCGTGTGTATTGGGGAACGGCTCCGACTGGTCGACCCCATATTGGTTACTTTACACCGATGTGTAAATTGGCCGATTTTCTTCGTGCAGGTTGTGAAGTATGTGCTTTGGTTTTGCGCTTCCCAAATAAATATGATGATAATAATAGGTTACGATTCTGCTTGCTGATCTGCACGCATATTTGGACAACATGAAAGCTCCATGGGATCTGTTGAAGTACCGCACGGAATATTACGAAACTCTGATCAAGGCTCTGCTTAAATCGATAGGAGTGCCACTAGAAAAACTCAAATTTGTACATGGTACTGATTTTCAATTGTCTCGGTAAGATATACTGTTACATGTAGCAAAAAACTAATAAATTAGTCAACAACTAATCTACAGTTCTCTCGTTTCATCTTCGGCTACGATCGTCTTTGAGATCGCTAGAGTTACTTCAGGTGTCAGTCGAATTCTGCAAGAGTGCAAAACATTTTTGTTCGCAAAAAAGTCAAAGAAACATGTTGAACTCTGATTGGCTCACAGCCTTCTCTCGCAAGAGGAAACACATCCAACTGCGGGAACGGTTTCGAGACAAGAGTGGGCTCATCCTGTAGAGCTCAATGAACTATGTTTACCTTGAAAATGGTTCGGGCCCGTGATCTGTTTCTAAAGACATTCAATGTTTTTAGTGTTTCAGCTGGATGTTTCTATGATACCGCAACCACATTGTGCCAAAATGATATCCAATATTGAAGAAGTCTTCAGCATTTGTAGAGTGTTTAAATCTAACGATTTTTATACAAAAAGTTTTAAAAGACACTTTTCTTTTGATGGAGATAGGCTCAAAGAATTTCAGTGAAAAACATAAAAAAACTCACAAAAAAATCTCTTGAGACTTTTTGACTTTTTACCAGTTGAAGTATTTTGAGCCTAACTTTATCAAAAGAAAAGCGTTTTTAAAAGTTTTTTTAATGAAAATACTTAGAATTGAAAGCTCTAGAAACACTGAAGATTTTATCAATATTGGAGATCATTCTGATACAATGTGATGTGGTATCATAGAAACATCTAGCTGTAACACTAAAAACATTCGATCTCTTCAGAAACAGATCATGGGTTCGAACCCTTTTCAGGATAAATATAGTTCATTGAGCTCCACAAGATGAGCCTACTCTTGATTCCAAAGTGTTCCGGCAGTTGGGTATGTTTTCTCGTCAGTCACTCCAATTATATTAAGGCTTTTCTTCGCTACTGTACTAATGAAATATGGTGTTGCTCAGGCGATTTAAAACAGCATCCTACTGATTTCTAGATTTGATCAAAGAAGACCATGTTTTGGGTGGACAAGAACAGAAAAGCTCGTATGTGTCTAATACAAGTATTTAAATTGATTTTAAGCCCCCTCCCACCTTAAAGTTCTCCTCCAGAACTGTATTGCTGTTTTTAACTTTGGATGGTCCAACCTTGCTGACACTTTCAGAGGAGGTGTATCCTATGCTGTGCTTCTCATAGTAAAAATTTCAGCTCGATACATAAAGTTTACCAAGAGGTAGCTTAAGATTATGGGTGCATCCGCGTTTCCCAAACCTCTCTGCCATTTCAAATGCTAGAAATGTCGAGCTGGTTTTAGAATGTAGCCAGAAGCCGGCGCTACAACTTGACAGGCTCCGACTTTTTTATGTCGGACTTTTATTTTTTTGTTTAAGTTTATCTTATAAGACATCAAAAGAATAGGTCTATTTTTGCCATCTCGTATAAGTTGAACTTAAAGAGGCCCCCCCCCCCCGTCCCCTCAGAAAAGTCAATTTTGGTCAAATTTATCGATTTTGTGATTTATAACTCATTAGATAGAGCAAAGTGTCTACTCACGAATGCACTATAGTTGATGGATTTTATGATGAGATTTAAGGATATTGCATAGGTTTTTCTGAACCTCCATATTGAAAAAATAAGGTTTTTAAAAACTTATTTTCCGGTTTTTGCTCAAAACCAGTTTTTTCGACAGTACCGTTTACGCGGGCAGGCTTTTCTTCATAATGACTCGATACCGAAGTGATATGTTTTTTTTATTGCATAGTAGACAAGTGGGCTAGGTCGTGACAGAGCCGGATTTTTGAATTTCTCTTTTACTGAAATAAAAACCGTAGATCTTTCATTTTGATCCTTGAGCTTTTTGATCATGAATTCAAGAATTTTTGAAAAAGGATTTTTAAAAAACAAAGGAAGGAAAATTAAAAAATCGGGCTCTGTCACGACCTAGCTCTAGGGGCACTCTACAACCTAGACACCACACCGGCCTGTTGGCTCCTAGTTCTCACGACGAAAACTCTGCTCGCGTACAGAGTATTTTTTACCACTAAATTGACTGTAACTCATTAGTATACTGGGATTTCGGGGAGATATTTCACCCATAGCCTATCCTATCCTAGGCTTATGTTCTCTGAAATATTTGGTTGAAATAGGACGAAAAATAACAAAATTGATTTCTGAGGGGGGGCCACCCTTAAAAAAGAAATAAAAGTTCGACATAAAAATAGTTGGAGCCTGTCAAGTTGTAGCGCCGGATTTGGGCTACATTCTAAAACCAGCTCGACATTTCTAGCATTTGAAATGGCAGAGAGTTTTGGGAAACGCGGATGCACCCATACTCTTAAGCTACCTCTTCGTAAACTTAATGTATCGAGCTGCAATTTTTACTATGAGAAGCACAGCACAGGATACACCTCCTCTGAAAGTGTCAGCAAGGTTGGACCATCCAAAGTTAAAAACAGCAATACAGTTCGGAAGGAGAACTTTAGGGTGGGGGGGGGGGGGGGGGGGGGGGGCTTAAGTAAATTAAGTATTAGAAAGAGCAACTTGAGAGTGAGAATGGATGTGAGTGTGGAAGGCGGATGCAAGTGTTGAGTGTAGATGCACTTCACTGTTTAGACGGATGAATCACATTCATCCTTCATATAATAAAAGTTTGGTTTTTTTGTGGGATTCACATATATTTTCGAAGAAAATAGTGAGTGTAAGTTTTAAGTTTAAGGTTTCGTGGCTCCCCCTCCCCCTCCCCCTTGCCTTACAGGCAGGTTCCCATTACAGACCATAGCAACGGAAGAGAACATTACAGACACCCCCCCCCCCCCCCGCATTACAGACAGTGGCAACTTCGTCAAAAAGAAATTTTCGTTCGAAATATAGAGATAGAGACAGCATTTTTCTAATAATCGATTATCTTTAGAAAAGAGCTATTATCTCTCGGAGATTGCAAATATTGGATATTTTGTGATTGGTATAATGAAACAAAAGAAGATATGTGAGCTCCATATTTCAGCTCCAAAGGGGCTGTGCTAACAAGCTTTTTTCTGGAAGAGTTAGGTTTTCTAGAGAAAAGAGCCTTTTTTATAAGAAACTAAGTCTGGTGAAGGGAAACTTATTTGTACAAATTTCTCATCTCAAATGTTGAACTGAAGTTTGGAAAATTGAAGAACTCGAGCTTCGGCTGTGAGTACAATGTATACCAAATAAAATCGATATTTAACTATGAACCAATACAGTGGTATGGTTTAAACTTCTTTTCACTAATAATAAAGACCATATGAACATGATTAATAATGAGAAGCTTTCATGTAGCGAAACTTGACAGGATATTAAATCATGTCGGAATAGTTTGATCACGAAATATTCTAATTAGTAGTATGATTATCATCTGTCCTAAGGCTCACACGTAGCTAGTGTGTTTGTTTAGTATTTTTGGATTAGCTTAGTATTCTTATAGGGAATACACGCTTGACGTTTATCGCTTGTCGTCATTAGTTACCGATCATGATGCAAAAAAAGCTGGTGATGAAGTAGTGAAACAAGTGGCCTCACCTTTGCTCAGTAGTTTACTCTATCCGGGACTACAAGTATGTAATCTGTTTTGTTTTTATTTAGACATATTTTTTGATTTCAGGCTCTCGATGAAGAATATCTGAAGGTCGATGCTCAATTCGGTGGTGTTGATCAACGAAAAATTTTTGTTTATGCAGAAGAAGTAACTCTTTAAATTTCTAATTTTTAATTGTGCTTGAAATATCACTTTAGAATCTTCCAAAGCTGGGTTATCGTAAACGCATTCATTTAATGAATCCAATGAGTATATTTTTATTTTTTCCTTTGAAATATGCAATGCTTTGAAATATTTTTGTTTAGTTCCCGGTATAACTGGCACACCAATGCATGCTAGTGATGAGGCAAGCAAAATTGATCTGCTCGATCCAGCGGAAAAAGTCACAGCGAAACTTAGAAAAGCTTTTTGTGAACCAGGAAATGTCGAAAAAAATCCAATACTTGCGTTCTGCGAGAAAGTTGTTTTTCCATTACTTAAAGACGAATGTATGTAACACTTTGTACTGATATCAAAAGAGAAGGTTTATATCTTTTAATTAGGCTTCACCATTCAACGATCGGCGGAAAACGGTGGTCCAATATCTTTTAATAATTACAATCAAATAAAAGATGCTTACGCAAAACAAGTATCGTGTAGATATAGAGTCTCTGATTGATGCTAACCTTCATTTTCAAAGGATCTGCATCCGAAGGATCTTAAAAATGGCTTCGAATACTATCTTAATCGATTACTTGACCCCATTCGAAAAGAGTTCGAGTCGGAATCCATGAAAAAACTGATCGAACTAGCTTATCCAAATACTGATAAAAGTATATTCTACATTTTTGCTATCAAGTTGTTTTCATTTTTTTTCTCATAGAAAATGTTCATTCTACAAGTAATGATCAAAAATCATCATCATCCAACACAGATAAAAGTAACATTTTGTATAAATAGGGTAGTGAAATAGTTTTATTATATATTCAGGCAAGCTGACCACACAAACAACAGACGGTGCTGAAGAATAATGCACAACACCACCAGTCTCTCGTGAAATATAAATGAATAAACAGGAGTCATGATAAAAGTCTTAAATAGCAAATCAGACAGTATTTTTTTCATTGTTTCTTAATTTCACCTCTCTAACCCACATATTTATCCAGTATTATCTCATATAAACTAGGGAGTTCTTGATTTTTGTCGAAATAAATATCTCATTATTGTTCATGCTCTAGTACCAATGTCGATGAACGCGTAACAGAAAAACATGATCTTCGATTTCTATGACGAATTTTGAAGTGATTTTCGAGAACATTTCGGTTGATGGTAGTCAGCATTTCTCTTTTTTTGATACAATTCATGCGCCGTAATACAACACTTGCTAAGACATCAGTCTACTAACGTGAAACTTTTGAGAAGACCTACAAAACGTTCCATGGAAAATAACACACTAGATTAGTCTTGATCAATAATGCGAGACATTAAATATTTTTCAAATTTTTCATCAAGAAATTATTGCAACTTACTGGAAAACTGTCTAATCGTTTCTCATTCATGAGAGGATAAACATCTGTAATATCAACCGCTGGGTTGTTTGGCTACATCCGAATAACCCAAAACCAATTGAATCATGATGCAAGAGTTGTTTGATAGATAGCATTTACGTCATAGGCATCTGAATACAGTAACACTGAAAAATCTTATCGCGCAAGAAAACTACATTTGTAAAAGATTTGATATCGTTTAAACATGCTTCTGATTTAAGTTATCAACAGTATGAAAGGTCCCAAAAGCCGGCAGTGCATTTTTCAAGTTTCTGAAGCATTCGTATCATATTATTCTTCCGAAAGATGGGCGATTCTGACCAGTTACTTCGTAGGATGGATATTCGAACGTCACTATCTACGGCAAAGGCCACAGCCAATAGAAATTCTCACATATTCGTACTTCTTCATTCACGTCGATTGTCCTTCTTCTCCAGTTGTTTTCCCTATCATTCTCACTCTCACCATTCGTAGGTGAGGTCGTGCATTTGTCAGTGCATGATAGTATAGGATTGCATTTTACGATATGCAGGTTTTCGGAATACATGTATGGATGTCGAGTGCTTTGTGCTATGCGTTTGTAAACCAAAAACGAAATCCCTGTGCATACCCCAGTGAAAAATTTTCGCGATTTTCAATCGGATTTTTCTGCAACAAAATCAAAATTATAATCAATCGATAATTTTGATTATTGTTGATCACGACTTAACTATTACTTGATATTGTTACTTATTCAGTGTGGAATTATCTGATTAAAATCGGATGATTCTGTAGCAAATCGAGGATTACCAATCGATTAATAATTTCGATTATACTGCAAAGTAATCCGATTTCAATTAGAAAATTTCACATTAAATAAGCAACAATGTCAAATAATGGATCAGTCGTGATCAAAAATAATCAAAATTATCAATCGATTATAATTTTGATTTTGTTGCAGAAAAATCCGATTGAAAATCGCAAAAATTTTTCACTGGGACCAACCTCCTGAGGATTCGAACCTTACGCCAATATCCATATCTGCACACTCACCAAGGTGTCAGTCTCTGCGTACATGTTTTTGGTTGGCTGTGAGGGTCTACGTGGAGTATGGGTGGGTATTACGTTCGTTGAAAAAAATACCTACGCACTCACGCCAACACCGAGAACCACATATCCACAAATAAAGCTGTCCCCATATTCAATCCATTTACAACACGTAAATATCCATATTCACACCTCATTCCTAACTAAGAAAATGACCTACTTCAGCAGTCGTACACTGAATAATGCCTCTTATTACTGCTTTAATGCACAGGCACATACAGAAAAAATATGCCGTCGGCACAAAAAAAAAAACAAATACAATGTTTAAGTGATGTGTTTTTGCATCCACACTGTTGAAAAAAAAACTAAGAGAAGAATGTTGCTGTAGGTGTATGCATTGGTCTACGAATATAATGTGTCTATGTATGTCTGCCAGTTTTTGAGAATTTGAATGTTGGGTGTGGATGCATAAGGCACATGCGCACTAATAGAAGCATCTGACTTAGACCCACATTTCACTAGAACATTTATTGTCATTAAAATTACAAAACTTTTACACATGGAGACATACAATTTTTTCGAAAAATAACATCACTTTCGATTCAACAACATGTCATGTTATGATATATAATTGTGTAACTACATAACATATAAAATATTGTTACATGAGAGTATTGAAATGTACTTTGAAATGATGCATACCAATTTGCGGCAACATAATATTTAGTATCATTTCTTGTCGTATATGACACAGCATAAGAAAGGAAGAAAGGAAAAAGCTTTCAAAAGATATTGTCTAATGAACTAATATATTATGATCAAATTAATCTTGCATGAGGGTATGTAATCAAGTTCCACATTTCTCCTCTTATAGAACAGATATATCGACTTGCGAAATATATCTCAATCAGAAATATTCATTGTGGCGCTACAAGCAAAACTACCGACACTATGGTCTATGTTTTCTGTTTCATAGTAGGAGTGGAGGGTTGCCAAACGCAATTAGTATCTTTGCTTATGGTGAGCGAGCATAAAATATTCTACCTTTATGTAGTTTCTATTTACATAAGCGGGTTGTGTTTTGAATTCTGATTCAATTTATTGTATGGTTGCAATGTATAATGAATGCTGGTTGAATGTGCTTTTACAAATAGCAGAAAAGGAACAGAACGAGTGGGTTTATTGCATTAAATGTATGTATCTAAGGAGAAATTTACAAAGTAAAGAAAAGTAAGGGAAAGGGTAAGACAAAACAAATGTTCGCTGGATAATAGGCACATTCAGTTTCTTTCCATGTCAGGTGAATTTAGTTTTTAATTGGAGAAAGTCCGTAAAAGCTCGTTTTATTATTCGTCGAGAATGTGTTCATGTATGCAATATAAAACATGCTACGAAGTTTCTGATTGATTATTGAATCTAGGATAATAGCCAGTGTAGTTTCAATGATATTGGTAAGCGTTTTCTAAAAAATAACGCAAGATATGCCAATACAATGACTCCTACTATCATCTATCGTGATTTATTTTTTATTCTCAGGAATCGGAGTCAGAACTCAAATATATGGGAATAATCATTCTCGTCGGATGCTCTATCTTTGTTTTGAGCATATTGGTTCTATAATAACTTTGAATGGAAGGTTCTTTTTTATGGATTGTAGTACTCATAAAATGCTGAGGATATATCAGTTCCAAACTGTCTGTACCTTATTTAAAAGAAAAACAATAAAA